AGATACATATTACACACGTATACACACATTCTCATAGATGAACTGTGTAACGAAGAGTGGCATCCTGGGACGTGAAGATGAAGTGTGTATCTCTATTCCAAATAAAAAGAGGAGACCCAATGAAACTATTAAAGCAACCTGGACAAACATTCATTCTGCCCATGGAAGGCTGAGATCGCGTCTCAAGCAGGAGAGGGCTAGGGGGTAACAGTGAGACTTTGACAGAAATAAAGGCAAAAGAGGCTACTGCTGGCCTGATCTGCTGCCCCGAGGCCGGAGAAGGCAGGGCTGCTCTGCAGAGGAGTCACAGGTCAGAGAACAAGGCAAAGGGGACAGCAGAGTCCTGGCAGGGGGGAGACGCTGTCACTGATGACGTCTCCGTGACGTAGATCAGGGCGTGGCTTCGTCCCACTGTAACTAGCTCTACAGCCTGGCACCCACGCAGAAACCAACGAAGCCATCTCCAAGACAAGCGCATCAGGAGGAGGGCTGGAATGAACGCATGCGAAAATGCCAATTCTAAGTGACAAACGGAGAAAATGTGTTATTATTACGGCCTGATTAAGAACAACAGCAGGGCAGGCGCAACGGCTCAGCGGTTCCGTGTCTAAAGTCCTCACCTTGCAAACAGTGCCAGGATCCCGTACGGGCACTGGTTCCTGGGCTGGCTGTTGTCCTTCACACCCAGCTCCCTGTTTGTGGCCTGGGAAACCAGTAGAGGATGACCCAAAGCCCTGGGACCCTGCACCTGTGAGGGAGATTCAAAAGAAGCTCCTGGCTCCTGGCTTCAGATCGGCTCAGTGAACCAGCAGACGGCAGATCTTCCTGTCTCTCCTCTCCGCAAATCTGCCTTTCAAGAAAAATAAATCTTTTGAGGAAAAAAACAAAAAATAGCAGCAGTAACAACACATTTTCAGCACAGTTAGTATATTTTCTTCAGTGTTTGGAACAAGGGCATTAAAAACAGTGCTACACAGTAGGACCTGCCTTCACCCAGCTAGGGCGTTGCCACTTTAAAACAGGTGTTCTCAATTCCTGTTAACAAGCAACCTTCTCAAGTTTTCCAAGGAAGCGCTCTAGGATGAGCCCGCTTTTTCCGTCTCCTCCAGTGAGTGGTGCAGTCAGCTTTGTCACAAGGGGGGCAGCAGGGGGGTCTCCAGTTCCACAGCGCGCCCAGTCACCTTCTGGAGGCTCAAGTCCTGGACCGTGAGCTCACCTGTAGCGCAGGCATCCTTGTCGCCCTCCCAGCCCTGGACAGAGAGCCTCCTCCTGCCCCTTCCCTGGGGCCCTTGGGCTCATCCCCACCACCTCTCCTGGGACTCTCACCTCCCCAATCCAGAGCCAGCCCTACACAACATATTCTTGCCTCTCTCATCCAGGTGGAGAATGTTATTTTTTAATGTCATTTTATATACAGAGAACAAAGAACAATAAACATATTTTCACTTACATAACCTAATTATATGGTTAATTATTCCTATGCTGGGTGAGGCTTTTCCCTTTGTTTCTCCCCTGACCCCAGATACAGGGAAAAAATGATAATATTAGTGTGGAAACAATGGTATTACCCACTTTCACCTTGTAGCCCTTGACCCTTTGTACCCTAATGAACTAAGTAAGATTATTAAAAAATAATAATAAAAAACAAAAACAAATACACAGCTTATGTTTTAGACCTACATAACATTTCAGTATCTTGAATAAAGTTTTCTCCTGCATCCAAGTTTACATACTATTTTTAAGGTCCCTTTAGAAAAATAATTTTTTTAAATACTTTAAATGATCAAAAAAATAAATTTATTACCTAAAAAAAAAGAAATTATAGTTCTTGGGCATGGCGCAGTGGCCGAGCGGCTAAATCTATATATATATATTTGAAAATAAAATGTTGGAAGGACTGGCTCTTCTCAAGTGGATGGTGGTACAGGTTTACAGTTAGGCTAGGGATATTAAAAAATCAAAATCTTTTTAATTAGAATAACCTTAAAATGTCCTTTCCTTTCCTCCAAAGTTGAGAATATGAACTAGTCCTCTGAACATAAAAATGAAATATAACTAAACAGGATCTAGAAATAAATATGCCGTATTGCTCCTGAAACAATACCTTCCCCTCCATTAACTGGGCAAGCTTTCCCCTCCCCAGTATTTTACCATCCATGACAAACTTCATTCACTTGACATTGACCCATGGAATATATGACAATAATATACACGGCAAACACAGCACCTTTCTCCCACAAAAACACCAGCCATTCTCACACACCCACATACCTCTTAGACAGAATTTATTAGTGGACATGACATCAAATCTTTCATGTAAATAAACACAACACCCACCTCTGTTTTTAAACAAGTCAACTGCAAGACAAGACGAAAGGGAAAAAAATCTTGAATTGTTCTAATTTTATAACCAACGCTTAAAAAATTCTGTTTGGAAAACTACGAATGCTTTCAATTCCTGAAGCCCCTAATAGGACACTTACACAATTAGAAATGGCAAACATCTCAGTTTTGTACAGCAGTGCCAGCCTCTGATTTACCCACCTTCACCCAGGCAGAGGGTTGCAAGCTAGCTAAAGAAAAGAAAATGTGACTACTGGCCAAGAAGGTGACTAATTTTTAACTTACTGAAATAGGACAATCAAGAAATTAACTGTGTCCTGATTCCCATGGCATAAGAAGCCTCAGTGAGACCTGTTCCCCCCCAGGGCCCCCTCAAGCCAGCCACTGTCCCCACTGCCTTCCTCAGGATGGTTTTAATTGACTAGGTTTGTCAAACTGACATTAAAAAAAAAAACACCTGAGGGGCTTGTTAATACCCTGTGTCTCTTCCCTCCCAATTAATGTGGCTGGGGCTGGAACCTGACAGCCACACTTTAAACAAATCCCCTAGGACAATTTAAAATCCCAAAGGATTTTAAGAATAGTCCTTGAGAAAACAGCCCATCACACTGTGCAATAGCCAGGCTCACAACTCGGATGTTGGCTGGCTCTTAGGGAATCTGGTCCTTGTCTCAGGAGTCAGGGGCCAGGGCAGGCTCAAGTGTCACTGCCTCCAGGAAGCCTCCTTGGGCACGCAGGAGAGGTTCCTAGCTCTGGGCACTGCGTGAACCTGTGCTTGCCTGTAACTCCCCCCAGTACCGACTGCTCTCATTAGGCTCCACTGCTGTCCTAGCTCCCCTTCAACCTGGTGAACCAGCCAGTGACTAGAAACCAGTGCCTGGTCTCTAGCTCTCCTTCAACTAGCTCCACCAACTGATTTTCCCTGTCCAAAGCCAACTTTACAACTGCTCTTTTTGGCTCACACCACCTGATTCAGATTTCATGTCCAGGAAACACTGGGCTGATGAAGGCCTTCGTCGGTCTTGCTAGGAAAAGCAACATCAGCAAACATCAGACACTTGAAGATTCGGTCACACTGCTAGGAAATTAATTTACATTTTTAAGTTTCGGAAACTAGAACTCTCACAAGCCTCTGAAGTCCATAGCTGTAGACCAGCCATCTCAAAAGCAACCCAAGACACAAGGAAAGGGCCAAGGATTCTTTATACCCCAAACACCTGCAGTCCAGAGGCTTCAGAATCCTAAACACAAAGCACCTGGCTTCTGCTCAGGACCCTTCACTCTCCAAGCACCTGTTGCACTCTGACAAGCCCTGGCATGCTCCATCCCTACTCGGCCACCCAAGTGTGAGACAGGACATCAGAAGCTGCCATTCCTGGATCTTTTCCAGAAATAAGAAACAATCCCATAGGCCAGGAAACCTAAAGTCTCTTCCATTTTCCGAAAATAAAACAAGCAAGACAACCAAAACGTGAGGAGTGGGAGCCTTCAGCCACGACCTGGGAGCCTCCTGGTACCGTGCAGTTCCACCCAACTCAGAAAGCTCACACCTCAAGCAGCTTACCTTACATCCATGGATCTTCCCAAATTACGGATTCGTCACCCAAGCGCTGCCCTGTGTACGGATGACCCTTCAATTACTAATCGCAACGTTGGGGTTCTTCCATCCAACACTCGGAGAGACCCGAGAGAGCTAAAAGCACAAAAGAACAGCTTTTTAGGCAGCTGTAGTTGAATGGTCCACCAGTTCATGTGGAAGGGCTATACCTAAAATTAGAACCGAGGGCGCCCCGGGCTGTGGGTGGACCCCTGGACAGCCCCTAGGCCTGCAACAGACCCCTGCCCCTCACCCTAGGCCTGCAACAGACCCCTGCCCCTCACCCTAAACCTGTAACAGACCCCTGCCCCTCACCCTAAGCCTGCAACAGACCCCTGCCCCTCACCCTAAGCCTGCAACAGACCCCTGCCCCTCACCCTAAGCCTGCAACAGACCCCTGCCCCTCACCCTAAGATGCAACAGACCCCTGCCCCTCACCCTAAGCCTGTAACAGACCCCTGCCCCTCACCCTAGGCCTGTAACAGACCCCTGCCCCTCACCCTAAGCCTGTAACAGACCCCTGCCCCTCACCCTAGGCCTGCAACAGACCCCTGCCCCTCACCTTAAGCCTGCAACAGACCCCTGCCCCTCACCCTAGGCCTGCAACAGACCCCTGCCCCTCACCCTAAGCCTGCAACGGACCCCTGCCCCTCACCCATCTCCTGCACACCCGGACCTACCTCAAGGCCCCGGGTTTTCAGCCCCAAGCAGAGGAGGGGCCTCCGGAAGGAGCCCCACACCTGGCCCTGCCTCGGGCGGTGCGGCCCACGGCGGGGGGAGGGGAGGCGCCGGCCCCTGCAGCTGCCCCAGGCCCGGGCCTCCCGGGTGGGCCTCGCTCCGACGCGGGGCTGGGGTGAGGGGACGCAGGCTCCCCGGGCCCGTGCGCCCTGGGCACACCTGTCCGCTGGCGAGGCCTCATTAGGCGGCGCCCGTGCAGCCAAGGGGCTGGCCGCGGCGGCAGCGCTGAGTCCCAGGCATGGAGCCCATGGCAGAACCGGGTCGGGAGTCACGGGGTGAGCAGACGCGGGGGGCGCAGGGGGCGCAGGGGGCTTGCGTGACCATGACCGGCTGCTCTGAGAGTGTGGGTAGGCCAAGGAGATGGTGGGGCCGAAAGTGAAGGGCAGAAAGGCGACCAGGCTCTCCCAGTGCATTAAGGCAGAAAACGTTGGGGGGGAGGGGGCAGGGTGCCAGGACCCCTCCACACCCCCACTGCCGCCCGCCCCTTTCTTATCTAGGGCATGGCACTGTCCTGTCTTACTTGCGCCTACTTGGTACCAGATTTATTGCTACGCTCCAAGCAGTTCTCAAATGCTAGAAAGCTGATTGAGCTCTGCTTCCGCTAACCACCACCACCAGCTTGCCCCTGCACCCCGGGGGAGGCCTGCTCACCCCCTGCAGCTTGGCCTAACCTACTGAGAGTCTGGACTTTCCCTCCCTTCCATCTTTAGCTATTGCAAAGTCCTGCCTTTAGTCCATAACTTTGGCCCATCTATTGAAGTGACAGTGGCTGTTGGTGGCTGCGAGCATTCCTTTACAAATATTCCCATTTAGTTGGGAATAACAAAGCTGTTCCCCAGGGCTAAGGGTTCAGTGAGTTGGAAATGAGTGCAGAGGAGAGAATGAAGGTGGGAGGTGGGGGAGAGGAATCCTGTGGTGGGTGACAGTACAGCCTGGGTGCTAATCTATTGAGGAATCTTGGACCAGTTACCCCAAGTTCCAATTCTCATTTCCTCAAGTATTGGAGAGGCCTCCCTCACGGGCACATTAGCCCATAGGTGCTTGTCACCAAGCCCGGACTGGGCACACTGATGGGCTTTGAAGGTGCCCGATAGGTGGTGTGGTTGTAGTTGACCCAGTCCTAGGGTTCCTGGGAGAGGCATTGCCTTGCAGGGAGGAGGACGGAAGCCAGCAGAGTCAGCCGGGGCAGAAGGAGCCGTGTGGAAGGCAAAGATGGCGGTCCCTGATGTCACCTTGTGTTTCCTGAAATGGCCGAGACTCAGGCTAGTCCCTCCTCCCAGCCACGATGCTTGGGTCCACGGGAGCCAGCTTCAGCAGAGGGAGGACCTCAACCCTCCCATGGGTGCAGAAATGTCTGCATAGAAGCCTGCCCCTCGCGCTCAAACCTATGCTGTGTTGTGGGGGGGGCTCAGAGAGAGGGAATGTCTGTGGCACACAGTCTCCCCATCTCGCCATGAGCTGAGGCCCCCAGATGGGCTCCATGTGTCCACTTACATTTTTCAAGGTAGTCCCCGGGCTCCTATGTGTCCCCTTATCCATCTGGGCCTCAGAATCATCCAGGCGGGAGGCCAAGTCTGGAGGTCCTGTCCTCTTTGGGGAGTGAGCAAACGAGTCAAGAATGCACCAATAATCCGGTCACAGAGCAGGACACAGCCCATGCTGTTAGCCCAGGTTCTCCCGTGTCCCTCTGCTAAAGTTAGTGGGTCCTGGCTCTCCACAGGTCAGCAAGGTGGAGGCAAGCCCTTGGTTGCTGGGCCAGAGGAAGAGGAACCACGACCAGGGCCAGCCTCCAAGACCCTGGATGTCCGGAGTGAGGAGCTGCCACCCTCTGGCCCCATCTACCGGGAGAAGACATCGGAGGCCCCTGGAAGATGTGCTGAGAGCGGGTGCCAGTCCAAGGTTCAACACAGAGACAAAAGTGCAGCCTCAAAACCCCCGCCTGGAGAGGAAGGGTCCTCCATCCCTGGCAGAGAGGGCAAGATGGCAAAGAAGTCCTACGTCACAGCGCCCAGCAAACAGAAAAAGCCCAGTTCCCTGGGTCTGGCCTCAACAGCAGCTGCTGCTGCTGTTACTAGCTCAGCCAGCGCCACACACAACCCTGTGCCCTGTGGCTCAGGCCGGGGACCCTGCCACCTGGCCAACCTTCTCAACACATTGGCTCAGAATAACCAAAATGCGGAGAAGAGAAGGCCCCCCCCACAAGTGACTTGCCAAATTAGGAAAAAGACTCGAACCCTGTACCGCTCAGGTAAGTCCCAAAAAGGTGAGAGGAAACCTAAGGCCTGGTGTCATCCTGGAAGAGTGGGACTGTTGTAAGCAAGGTGTGCCCAGTTTATATGGCACCTTGTCCTGGATCCATGGCTGTGCCACCACCACCTCTTCAGTCCCTCCGAAGGGAAGGCTGGCTTGTCCCAGCAGTAAGTAAGGTTGGAACCAGGGTCGAAGGGTCAGGAGAGGGAACACCCCCCAGGTATCTGCTATCACGTCCGTCGGAAAGCAAGCCCAGGGAAGTGGGGGGGACTTCATTACAGGGCCCTGGGTCAAGCAGCAACGGTCCCATCTGCTGGAGACATCTGGGGAACCATTCTTTCCCCTCTCCTGCAACATCCCCTCCTCCCGTGGACCCCTTCGTCTTCCAGAACAGCTGGAGGAGCTGGAGAGAATCTTCCAGGAAGACCACTATCCTGACAGTGACAAGCGCCAGGAGATTGCCCAGACAGTGGGGGTCACCCCACAACGCATCATGGTAACGTTGGGCTGCTTGGCAGGGTGACTGGGGAGCCTCCCGATTAGAACTGTTAGATGAGCAGAACAAGACGCTCAGCCGGAAGCTCAGTGCCACCTGCGGTCAGGTCTTGGATGTGGCTGTGTCCCTGTCGCTTGACAGTCCATAGCCCTGGACTGGCAAGAGAGCAGGTCCATTTGTAAACTCAACCTGACAGGTGCATCTGAGGCAAAGCCATGAAGCGCCACAAACTCTTGTAGATGGTTGTATGACCTCAGCCTTGCTCAGGCTCTCCAAGTGCCCTCCCCCCCGTAGGTGTGGTTCCAGAACCGCAGGGCCAAGTGGCGAAAAGTCGAGAAACTGAATGGGAAGGAACACAAGGACGACCACCCGGCCCCGGCCCCGGCCCCTGCCAGTAGTGAGTGCAGGTAATACCTTTTCCCGAATCCAGGATTGATCTAGCAGGTGAGAAGTGGGATCAGAGCTGAGATCCTGCAGGCTAGCAGGAGGGAGTGGTGGAAGGCTTGAGCCAGTCCTGGCATTGCTCAAGGGTAGTCCGAGGGATCTGGGCTAGGATGGGTCTGGGAAGTAACTAGCAGACGCACTAGGTGGAGGAGGTGGAATTTGAGGATCCAACGCCTCTTTTCCTGCACTGAAGGCCCAGTCTAAATTCAGAGCAGACCTAGGCCACCGTCTTCATTCTCTCTGCAGATCCGTGACTGAGCCCCCACCTCCTCCGCCTTCGGACCCAGAGCCAGGGCCCTTCCTGCAGGAGCCACGTCTGGATACATATCCAGGTGAGGTCCCCACCTTCAGAAGGTAAGCTGTGGGAAACGGCAGCTCAGGAGACACGGAAGATACCAGGATCCTGATAGGCAGGACTGTGGGTGAGCCATTGCAAGGTTTGGAACCAGAGGGTCCCATTGAGGGGACTGTGGGCTTTGAACACAGAGAGCACACCCAAGTCTTTCTCTTCATCTTCTGCCCTGACAGCCCCTCTCTGCCTTGTGTCTCTAGAGCCTCCCACGCTGCTGACTTCCGACCAGACACTGGCTCCAACCCAGCAGAATGAGGGTACCCAGAAGATGGTGGTGAGCCCACCGCTGTTCAGTCCCCCACCTCTGCAGAGAGCCAACTTCCCGTTTCCCCTCGTCCACGCTCACACCCCCCAGCTGATGCCTTTACTGATGGATGTTCCCGCAAGTAACAGCAGCCACAGGGATGGGCCCTGTGGGTCCTGGGGCACAAGGTATGGAACGCAGGTGGGGATGCCATTGGAGTCCTCTTGGAAGTTGGGGACAGAGACTACAGACTGAGGAGGGGAAAGGGCTCAGAGAGAGGAGCGGGGGGCGGCGATATGTGTGATGGGAATTAAACTGTTAAGCAGGCAGCCAATGGGGCAGAAACAAGGGGTGTGAAGTTGGGAACAGATGGGGAGAGGGTGGCAGTGATGTTGCAAGGTCACCATGGAGGTGAGGCAAAAGGTGAGAGAAGGTGACTCACCCTTGTGTGAAGCGTGCACTCAGTGCTGGTCTTTGTCCTGCAGCGTCTCCCCACCACCTACCTGCTCGTACTTGGAAGAGCTGGAACCTCCGGATTACCAACACAGCAACCAGCCAGGACCATTCCCATTCTCTCAGGCCTTCCAGCCCCAGCTTTTTCAGCCCTCCCAACCCCAATTCTCCTATCTTCCCCCTCTCCCCTTCCCCATGCCCAGTTCACTGACACTTCCACTGCCAGATGACCCGTTCTTCACCTTTCCTTGCCCTCCCAGTGGCGGGGGGATGCCACAGGGCTATTGCCCAGGCCCCCCATCAGGGCATATGCTGCTGCAGCCACCTGCTGGGAATATGGGTAAGTTGGGCCGAAATGGAAAATGCCCCCTTGTGATTGAAAAAACAGCCTCGCTGTTTGCGAGGTGAGTGAGGCCAGGCACAGGTAGTGGCGTTTGCTCACCCCTCATTCTCTTGATTAAGTTCTTCCAAAACTTCTTGGACACTGCAAAGCAAAGAGACAGTCAGTGAGACAGCCTTGATGTTTGGCACCGGGCAAGGCAAAAGCTTTGGAGGACAGCTCAGCCAGGACAAGTGTTCCCTAAGTCTCCGTTATCTGGACTCTTAAGGAATGAATAGCGTCCTAATTCGTAGTGGGGTTTGATGAGGACTTGGAAACAAACAGGGTGAAGATGCTAAGACTTGGGTGGATGGCAGCTGACGTGTGCGTTCTGCCAGGCTGTTTGAAAGTCCCAGAAGCATCACTCTTCATGCTGAATTCCTGCAGAATGGAAAGAAAGATCTGTGCAGTAGGTTCAGTCTCTCTCTCTCTAATTATTGGCAAGACAGATTTACAGAGAGAAAGATTTTCATCCACTGGGTCACTCCTCAAGCGACTGCAATGGCCAGAGCTGAGGCGATCTGAAGCACCCAAGAGCCTCCTTAGGGTCTCCCACGTGGGTGCAGGGCCCCATGGCTTTGGATCATCCTCTATTGCCTTCCCGGGCCACAAGCAGGGAGCAGGAAGGGAAATGGAGCATCTTGGATAAGAACAGGCGTCCATATGGGATCCCAGCACCTGCAGGGTAAGAACTTTGGCCCCTAGGCTACTGCACTGGGTCCAGGTTCAGTCTCTTGCTACGTACTTCCTAAGTGCTTACCCAGCCTGACCCAGGTTTGCCATCTGCTATCAGTATTATCAACAGCAGCACGCTGAACCCAAGAGCATGTCAGATCTGAGTGGGAGAATCTGGTGCCGGGTTCACCGAGACTTGTGTTAAAGAGAAGACAGTACCTGGAGACTGGCTTACACTTTTCACTTTGCCCAGTAGTTCCTCTCCCCTTTTGTCCCACAGGGATGGTCCCCTGGAATGACCTCTGCTTACCTGAACTGCCCTTCCCTGGTTCATTCTGCCCACAAGCTCTCGGACATCCCCCAGGAGGAGATGGCTACTTCCCCGACCTCTTTCCAGCTCCCTGCGTCCAGGCTCCAGGCAGGCAGCCTTCACCAGGGCTTGCCCAGCTACCTGCAGGTGCCAGATCAGGAGTTGGGCCTACACCAGGCAAGATGCAAGAGGAGCAGGCTGCCGGTGCTCTGGAGCAGCCTTTGTTCCCAGAGGAGGCGAAAGAAGACAAGAACTACCATGAACCCTAACTGGGGGCCGGCGTGGAAGAGGCGCCACTCGGCGGACCAAGACTGGCCCATCTACTCGGAAAATGGTGTTTGAAGGATTGGAGAAAGCTGTGGACTCTGTTGCCTGGGGTGGAAGCCGGACGATCCGGGCTCTGTAGACTTGTCTGGCTGGTGGCTGATTGAAACAGGAAGAGGGCCGACCCTCCGGTTTCCTCCACATCTGTGGTCTTCCTGAAGAAAGGATGGTCTATGTTACTTTTTGAACATTTGTAGCCGTTTATGTTGTTTCGTTTCCTTGCAATCAATAAGCCAGAGTATCCACAGTAAACTGGTCTGCCCTTGAGTTTTTTCTCACTGATGATACTTCTTTCCTCACATGAACATAGAGCTCTATTTCCTTAAACTCAGCGGACAGCTCGCCGATTGCAATTAAACAGCCGAGGTCGACAGTGGGCGTGAGTGGAATGTGGGCCCATCCTTCCCATTAGAAGGAGGAATTAAAATATTGGACTTTTTGCTGTTGCTGCTTCTATGAATTCATGTGGTTCTTCCAACCCCAGAGCTCCCAGCAAATCTGAGTTGGCCTGGCCCTGGAATCTAGGCCACGTCCAAGTAGAATTTCAACAGAACCCTGATGATATCCCAGCTCACGTTGCTAGTATTTTTTTTTTAAAGAATTATTTATTTATTGGAAAGTCAGATATACAGAGAGGAGGAGAGACAGAGAGGAAGATTTTCCATCCGATGACTCACTCCCCAAGTAAGCGCCGCAATGGCCGATGCTATGCCGATCCGAAGCCAGGAGCCAGGAACTTCTTTCTGGTATCCCACATGGGTGCAGGGTCCCAAAGCTTTGGACCATCCTCGACTGCTTTCTCAGGCCACAGGCAGGGAGCTGGATGGGAAGTGGAGCTGCTGGGATTAGAACCGGCACCCATATGGGATCCTGGGCGTGTTCAAGGTGAGGATTTTAGCAGCTAGGCCACACTGCCGGACCCGTTGCTAGTATTTTTAAACTGGGATTGCCCAAGAGGTCTTGTGTTGGGAGTGGAGGAAAGGACAAGTTAGTGGAGTCTGGAGAAGACGGGGATGAAGAAAAAATGTGTGTGAGGAGAGTCAGTGAGAGGTATTTAGGAAGATGAATCAAGAGACCCTACAATCAAGAACTACAGAAAATGAGATGAGCATGACAGGTTTGTAGAAGGTGAAGGCTCAGGGTGGTCCTGGGTTGCCACAGAAGGACACGTGGTTACAGCAGTCTGTCTGAAGCAAGCATTCAGTAGATCTGCAGCAGACAAGGGGATTGCTTTTAAATTTGTAACAAGGAACTGTTTTGGTGGCCGGCATGGTGGCACTGTGGGCTAGTCCTCCACATGCAGCGTCAGCATCGCATGTGGATGCCAAGTGTTTCACTTGGGATCCGGCTCCCTGCTTCTGTACTGGGAATGCAGTGGAAGAGGACTGGAGAGCTTGGGCCCCTGCAGTCACGTGGGAGGCCTGGAAGAAGCTCCTGGCTTGGGCCCGGCGCGGTGGCGCAGTAGTTAAGGTCCTCACCTTGCACGCCCGGGATCCCATATGGGCACGGGTTCTAATCCCGGCAGCCCTGCTTCCCTTCCAGCTCCCTGCCTGTGGCCTGGGAAAGCAGTCAGGGACGGCCCAAAGCTTTGGGAAGCTGCACCCGCGTGGGAGACCCGGAAGAGGCTGCAGGCTTTGGATTGGCTCAGCTCCAGCCGTTGCGGCCGCCTAGGGAGTGAATCATCGGATGGAAGATCTTGCTCTCTGTCTCTCCTCTTTGTATATCCACCTTTCCAATAAAAATACAATAAATCTTTAAAAAAAAAAAAAAAGAAGCTCCTGGCTCGACTCTGGCTGTTGTGACCTTTTGGGGGAGTGAACCAGCTTTTGCAGGATGTCTCTTCCTTTCTGTAAAATTCCTTCTTTCAAATAAAAATAATAAAGCTTGAAAAAAAAACTCACCAGACAGGAAGTATATTTCTTTTAAATTTATTTTTACTTGAAAAGCATATTTTACCGAAAGAGAGAAAAAAAAAAAAAAAACAGATTTTTTCCAACTGATGACTCACTTTCCAAATAGCTACCACAGCTGGAGCTGGGCCAGTGAGAAGCTGCGAGCCTGGAGCTTCCTCTGGATCTCCCATGCAGGGGCCCAAGGACTCGGGTTATCTTCTTTCCCAGGCATAGTAGCAGGGAGCTGGATTGGAAGTGGAATAGGCAAAACTCAAGCCTGTACCCATATAGAAAGCCAGTGCCACAGAAAGAGGCGTAAGCTGCTACGCCATAGCGTTGACCCCAGCAGGTGTACTGCTGATGAAGCAGGTGGATAGGACGGTCAGCAGTAATCTCAGTGTTATTCAGGGATGGCCACAACGCTTAATAAGAAGGGCTAAGGAAATATTCCTTGGGAAGTTGAGTAATATAAAGACACACATGTTGGAAAGAGCTGGCTGCTAAAAAATTGAACTGTGAAAGTGTAAAATATTGCAATTGTCTTGGCACACAGCTATGTGTTTTTCAGTGACAACCTATAGTAATCAAGGGCAAGGGAGACTGCATTAGGCTTATTACTGTAAAGCTGTCCCCTGGGACTACGTCATCTGATTATATGACTTGATTTCTTGCTATTGTATATGAAGGTGTTGCTCAGAAAGCACATTTCTCTTCTTTGCCATGTTTTGGGGCTATGATTTGACCTCCTTGTTTAGCTATACAAGTTACCATGGTGTGTCAGATGACTCTAAAGAACTCAAATGGGATGAAAGCCATTGATCCAAAGCACTTCTCTGAGCTCTTGTGTATGTGGGGGAAGGAGGTGAGTCCTTCTGGACCCCCACATGCTAGGATTATTGAAAAATATAGTCACTTTAAAAAAAACTTACAAGGATTTATTAACAGACAGTAATCAGACCTATGCTAGGACTAAAAAAAAGCTGACAAGAAAATCTTATAAATGGAGGCAGGGAGCTGCTTACTTACACAAATGTTCATGTCGTGTGCCTGTCAAGTTTATGGACATGGGCCCGGAGCAGCCTAGCTGCTAAAATCCTCACCTTCAACACGCCCCTGGATCTCATATGGGCACCGGTTCTAATCCCAGAAGCTTCACTTCCCACTCAACTCCCTGCTTGTGGCCTGGGAAAGCAGTCGAGGATGGCCCAAAAGCTTTGGGACCCTGCACCCATGTGAGAGACCTGGAAGAAGTTCCTGGTTCCTAGCTTCGGATCGGCATAGCATCGGCCGTCGCGCTCACTTGGGGAGTGAATCATCGGATGGAAGATCTTCCTCTCTGACTCTCCTCCTCTCTGTATATCTGACTTTCTCATAAATAAGTAACTCTTAAAAAAAAAAAAAGGAGTTTATGGACAATCAGTCTGCTAGCTCTGCCATAGTTTCCAACCTTTGCCTCTTGTTGACAATCAAGGATGGTTTTAAGCATTCCTTAACACCCTTAGCTTATATTCTTTTATTAGAAAGGCAGATCATATTTATGGAGAGGAGGGACAGAGAGAAAGATCTTCCGTTTGCTGATTCACTACCCAAATGGCTGCAATGGTTGGAGCTGAGCCAATCCGAAGCCAGGAGTTTCTTCCCGGTCTCTCACACAGGTGCAGGCTCCTAAGACTTTGGGCCATCTTCTACTGCTGGAAGGGAAGTGGAGCAGCCAGGACACGAACTAGCACGCACCCAAGTAGGATCCCGGCACTTACAATTTAGTCATTGAGCCATTGCCTCGAGCTCTAAAATATATTTTACATGTATCTCTTTCTTCATTCTGTCTTATGAAGCCCATGAAGTTGGCAATCTACAACCAGATGGAAGGGGAGAATATAGAAGATCTTAAATGTTGCTCCCGTTAGCCACCACAATACACTACTATTGCTTTGACAACCTTACAGGGAGGCTGCACGGTTGCTCCTCCAGACCTTAGCTGGTTCCGATTGCCACTCTCTGATTAGCAGCACCTCACCGGTGCAGGAAACACAATGTCAAAAACCAAGATTGAAAGGATAATTGGCTTCAAAAGCTGTCCTTATGTGCAACTCTTAGATGAAAATTGTTTGATCTCAGGTAAGCAAGCATTGAAAAGTATTGAGGAGCCCGGCGGCATGGCTAAAGTCTTCGCCTTGAACGCGCCAGGATCCCAAATGGGCGCCGGTTCTAAGCCCAGCAGCTCCACTTCCCATCCAGCTCCCTGCTTGTGGCCTGGGAAAGCAGTCGAGGACGGCCCAAAGCTTTGGGACCCTGCACCCGTGTGGGAGACCTGGAGGAAGTTCCTAGCTCCTGGCTTTGGACTGGTGCAGCACCGGCCATTGCGGTCACTTGGGGAGTGAATCATCGGATGGAAAATCTTCCTCTCTATCTCTCCTCCTTTCTGTGTATCTTACCTTGCAATAAAAATAAAAATACATCTTTAAAAAAATAAAAAGGTGGTTTCATTGATATGTGTTATTTTCCAAATATCCGCAAAGAATACTCCTAACATTGCAAAATTTAAAAAGTGTATATTTATTTAGGGTTTATAGAGAGAAAGAGTCAATAGAATGGATAGATGGAAATATAGGGACTTATTAAGGGAATTGGCTCATGTCACCGTGATAGCTGAGTCCCCACAGCAGGCCAACATTGATTGGCAGGCTGACTGAATCTCAGTGTTAAAGGCCTTAGAATCAGGAAAGCCCAAGGCCCAAGTACCAGCCAGCAGGTAAATCCCGGAATCCAAAAGCCAGCAGCTCTGGGATCATGGCATCCAAGGTAACGGCCAAACTACGTGAGCATGTGCCAGCTGTCAAAGTGAGAGGACAGCCCGCTGCCAGCTGTTGACTCTCTCCAGGCTCGCAGCTGGCAGATGCACCTGCCCATAGCAAGTCCTGTCACTCTGAGCACTCATTCTCACATGCCAATTTCACCTGGAGGCTCCTTGAAATACCACTTTTTCAGGTTATTAGGTGTTCCTTAATCCGCTCTGGTTGACACCTAAATGTCATCACGGTGTGCCATTCCTT